TGGGGTGGGGGACTGTGGGGTGGGGATCTGGTGGGGTGGTGGCCGCCCAACCCCTGAGCCACACTGCCCCTTTAGGGGCCCTCACTGACTATGGCGCTACTCTCCATGCTCGTCCTCAGCTTGCGAGGACAGACATCAGAATAGTTCATGCCTCCTGCCTCTCGGCCCTCTTGTGAGGGTTAGGTCTGGTCTACTCCTGGGTCCTTAGAACAGAAACTGGCACCGAAGAAGCATCAGGGTTCAAGTGTGGCTGTTAGGATCATAAAAGTGAAGGACTTGTTCTACTGACCTGTGATTTTCTCACAGCTTGGGTGAATGGCGTGAGTGACCTAGTATGAACAATGAGCCCATGAAGGCAGTGGGAAGGGAGCCTGGTAAGAGGGGGACAGGCATTCCTTGGTCTGGTAGGTGTCTCTAGTCCCTCAGTTCTGGTCTCCCTGCTACCCACCTGCAAATAGAGTCTCACAGAAGAATACAGAAGATGTAAGAAAACAGATGTTTAAAATGGAGTAAGAATACTAAATGGTGAGAAGAGAAGCAGTAAAAAAGAATGTAACACTGCACTGTAGAGTTAAAGGCCAGGATTAGCATTTTTAAACTACGAAATTAGCATTTTTATACTAGAAAAGTAAGGTAAGAAAAAAACATAAAAAAGAAAACTAGGCAAAGGGGAGGAATGCTGGTACTTGAAAAATAGGTGTTTTTATAAAAGTGAAAGGAAAGACATACTAAAATCTGAAAGTACTTGAGGAGAAAGGTATGGCTGACCATGACTGTGTACCAGTAATTAGGACCTCGGGGATCATCACTCCACTTATTCCTCTCAACACCCCAGGACCCAGCTGCGTTTTGCACCAAAGAAAGGACTTTTTTTTTTTTTTTTAAGATTTATTTATTTGTACATACAGAACTGGAGTACAGGCCAGAGGCTCAGGGGCGGTGAGAGGATTCACCAGAGACAGTGGGGAGCAGAACAGGCAGATCGACGAAGTACACTGCTGAGGGGAGCAGCGGGCGGGTCAGGAGAGGTCTGCCGCGCCATGTGGTCACCTCCGGGGCAGGCAGGGATCGAACTCATGCGGAAGTGGCTTCAGCTTCTCAGTGTGGTGCTTTAACCCGCTGCGCCACCAGGGAGGGCCAGAAAGGACTTTTTAAAAAAGATTATTTATGATACAGAACTGGGGTACAGGCCAGAGGTGCAGGGGTGGTGAGAGGATTCACCAGAGACAGAATGGGGAGCACAAGAAGTGGATTGACATGTACACTGCTGAGGGGAGCAGTGGGCGAGACAGGAGAGAGCTGCTGTGCCATGTGTGTCACATGTGGAGCCAGGGATTGAATTGGCACTGAAGTGGCTACAGCCAGCTTGCAATGCTGCACCCTAATCCCTGTGCAACCAGGAAGGGCCCCAGAAAGGACTAATAACAAGATGAAGTCACTTTTAGGAAGGCACCAAACTGACCTTAGAACTTAAACTCTTAACCATCTCACTATACCAAATGCCTGCGCCTTAAAGAGTACCTGTTGAAACCCAAACAAATCTGGGTGTCTGGGGATACCCAAGCAGAAAGCTGTCTGATGCTAATAGGTTTTGTGAGGAACTTCTTGTGGGAGGAAGGCTGGAGTGGGGTGCAAAAAGTAAAGACCCCACCCCTGGTTTCTGAAAACCAATTTGAAACCAGGTGCTTGGTTCAAGGAAGGACACAAACACTGCACCACATTGGACTGAGCAGCTGGTCAGTAGCACCTGGGAAGGGATATGAATGAGCCAAACAGGGGTGGGAAAGGCAATAGCTTAAGCTCATCAGTGGCCGTGGTTCCATTGGGCCTAGGGGTTAGAGGCAATAGGGAGTGGTGCGGACTGGGGAAAATTGGCCAATGGAAGGAGTAACTGCTACCGCTGATAGATGCACGAGAAACTGAATTCACTGTTGCCAGTTTTCTAATTTTTTTTCAAGAGAAGCTATAGTTTTATGAGGAATCTCCTGATTTTTAAATATTGGTAACTTATTTTAGTATTTTAAACCACTGTCTGTTTGCCAATCTCATACAAGCCAAATACACCAAATAGCTGTACCCTGGCAACCTTTTTGGAATCTCTGGGTTAGGTAGACACCAGCATATTCCAGCACACACACGGAGACTCTAGCTGTAATGCCTGCTTAACACAACATAACATCTCTGGGCAATCTTAAGAGCAAATGACATGAAGATGCTGCTGTAGCTCAAAGATGGTGTGTAAAAGCGAGGTGGTTCTGCCAAAAGAAAGGACGTCATGAAGCTGGTCAGACAGTGATTTTTACCTGTTGTGGATGCACTGGGTGATTTCTTGTAGCCTGCTGGAGAAGATGTGGAGCCCAGGTGAAAGGTCATGACCAGAAGGCATAGGGTGGAAGTCAGCCACGTGTGGGCAAGGACTTCAGGGGAGTGAAGGTGCGAGGACAGGAGGGTACAGTGTTGGGTAGGTGTCCCTGGTTAAGGGTGAAAAGCAGGGCAGATGGGGTGGGGGAGTTCTCAGTGGAGCAGAGGTCACTGAGGACAGAGGTGCTGGGTTTTAGAACGCCTCAGTCAAATAGCAGGAAGGAATGCCAGCTTGCAAAGGGTGGGGCTGGGGGATTTGGATAAGAGGTGTTAGAGGGAGAGGGAGAGGGAGTGGTGGAGGAAGCAAGGGGCTCAAGCCACTGGCCCCAAGAATTGTGCGCATGGCCCCCCAGCTTGTCTGTCATCTTGTAGAGCTTACATTCTAGCTTCCACTCCTCTTTGGTTTCCATAGTGTAGAGAACCAGTAATCACAGGGTTTTCTTACCTTATTGCTCTAGGTACTACATATTTTGATTTATTGAATCATTATCTACATATTTTGATTTATTGAATCCTCACAAGACCCTTGTGAGTGGATGCTGTCATAATTTCCATTTTACAGATGAGGAAGCTGAGGCAGAGAGGTGACATGATTTGCACAAGCTACATGTCCATTAAACAGTGTAGTGGAATTTAAAGGCAGGCAACATAGTTCCAGAGTCATTACATCTCCCAGGTCTACTCCCCATCAACTCTGAGCTGTCTTAGCAAAGAGACTCTGCCTGAAGCCAGGCAGCAGGAAGCACCCAAATACCTGGCTCATCCCCATGACTCAAATTGAAATCGCCTCCCTCCCTCTTTGGAGTTTCTTTGCCATTTTCTTCACCATCTCCACTAATGCTGGCAGGCTTTCGATTGGACGTGCTAAATTATCTGTTGTAGTGAAGGAGGCGGGAAGGAAAGGATCAAGCCAGAGGTCAGAGGGCATCAGAAGCCTCTCCAAGTTAGGTCCTGGTCTTTCAACGACTTTTCTTCTTTTGGTAACTTCCTGATGATGGAGATGCTCCCATTCTTTTCAACTAGGCACACTTGTGCTCTTATTTTTCCAGTTCATTTTTATGAACTGGCGGATTGAATATAAAGGATCTGTGGTGAATGAGCTCTGCTCAGCGGTGTTTTCTTAGAGGGACTCCCTGCCCCCACCACTACTGTTTTTCTGAAAGGCACACTTGAAACTCATTAACAGAAAGCTCAGCCTGTATGGACAGGATTGCATATCGGAGTTCAGTCATCATCATCCATCATACCAGATCCTGTGACCCTACACAGTCTTCTGCATTGTCTTTTTGAGCTCCAAGTCAGGAGCTCAAAAGAGACGTGAGGCATTTGGTCACTCTCAGTTAAGACGTGAGGCATTTGGTCACTCTCAGTTATAGGATCATCTTCCGTGATCCTATGGCATCTTGGAGCTGATTCCTTGCTGGTTGACATGAACCCTCTGAAGACTCCAGCCCCAAGGGCAGGTCCCATGGTGTGCTGTCTGATGCTGTCCAGAGGGCTGGTGCTGACAGAATGGTTCTTGGCGCTCCCCCTGCTTCCTTGTTGTCACCCACTTGCTCGAGGCTGAGAGGGCGTGAGAGGGAGAGAAGAAGTAATGGGTGTAAGGGCCAGTGGTAGGGGAAAAAATGAAAAATTGAAAAGCAAACTACAAGAATTTCTTAGAAGTCAAAGTTAGGGTATAAAAATAGGCATGCGTTTAAGGAGGGCTTCCCCCCAGTGTGACTGATGCCATGTGGAGGTGCAGATGGCTGGTGTGGTGGTGGAGACAGTCCTGGACTAGGTAAGAAGGCCTGATTGCGGGCCTTGCTGTGCTGCCACAGGGGCAGGGCTTTGGGCAAGTCTTTGGTTTCATTGCCCTCCTTTGGTTTTTTGTTCTTTAGTAAAATGAATCCCTAAAGAATCTGCATGCAAGCCATGGTCTCGACAGTCCCATAGGTGGGGCTTTGCAAGAGCACACAACTAGTGGATCTGGGTAAGGGTGCACCTCCCTTCTTGCTATGTGGGCTTACTTCTGGCAATGTGATGGTTTACTTGAGAACTACCTCAAGGTCTCAAAGAAGTCATCACCATGCTGTATTGTAAGAGAAGGAAATGTCTAGGCATCGCCACAGGCTGGTTCAGTTTTGGGCCTCAAGTATATGGGTTGAGATCAACAAGGCTTCCTCTGCACGTGTGCCAGGGATGCGGTTCTTAAGCCTACAAGGCTGGTATTAATTTCACTCTTTTATCTTCACAGGGAAACTTTATGGTGATGTTCCTTTTATAGAAGAAAGACACAGACACCGGTATGAGGTACGACCTTGATGCTAGATTACTGTGGAACATGAACGATAGTACAAGGAGCTCCAATGATGACAAGGGCTTCTGGAAAAGCTGGCCCACTGGCCCCGGGTATCCATAGTGCGGGGGGAGGGGTGGAGGCGGTTCCCAGATTTCTGAGAGGAAGTGGATGGAGATGGGGAGACTCTGTTTTATCTTGCTTTCCCAAAGGCAAAATCATTAAGTAGCTGCACATTGGTTAAATGGGCTTCTATGTTACCCTAACTTCTGTGTCCTAGGCCAGGACAAGGTCATCATCCTCATCCTTAACCTCTTGCCCTCTATTTTAGCAGGTTTGGGAAAGGGACATTTGCATCTTCTGAAAGGGAACCAACTGCCTCTTGGGATAGGGGTGCCTCTCTGATTACCATATGATGGATTTGGGGTTTGGGAACCTCTTGGGAAGTCCACATTGAACTTGAGGCTTAGTGCCATGTGATTATACTGTGTGAAAGAAGCTATCAAAAGGACCACATACTATATGAGTCAATGAATATATGATGCCCAGAATAGGCAAATCTATACAGGTGCCTAGGACTGGGGGTGATGAGGGAATTGGGAGATGATGGATAAAGGGTACAGGATTTGTTTTGGAAATGGTTGTGGTGATAATTGCCATCCTCTATTAAAAAAACATTGACTTGTATGCTTTGCATGGCATATGAATTATATCTCAATAAAGCTGTTTACAAAAGGAAAAAATAATCACAAAAATGACAGTTGGTATAATGTTAAAAAAAATAAAGCATGCGGAGTTAAGATTAAGAAGGGCAGGTGAAAAAAATTAAAAAAAAAAAAGAAGGGCAGGTGAGATGCTGCCTTCATTTTCGATGAGGAGAGACTGAAAAGGCAGCCCAAAGTTGGGAAAGGGTTAGAGAGGGATGAGTGGGGGAAGAGTCTAAGGCCCATGCCATCGTGTTGTCCTTTACAAGCAATATTTTAGGAGAAAAATCGCTCCAACCTTCTCTCTAGAGCTTTTTTTGTAATGATAAGTAAAGAAATCATTGCAGTTCATCACAAGGGAAATAAAATAATTTCAACCCTCAAGCAGACTTGTGGTTTGGGGAGAGATAGTCAATTACACATAAATCTTGGGGACAACTATAAATAGCCGTTCCTAGGGCTCCCAATCAGAATATCTGCATCCTAAACTGACTTTCTGTAGCTCCTTTTTGAGTGCTAAGAGTTGGTCTCCCAGGTTTAGGACCTGTGATTAGGCTCCCAGGGGTTCATCATGAGTCTAAAATAATAAGCGTTGGGGGTTGAATTTTGGAGTGGTCAATATTTGCAGGCGATGCTCTCCCTGTTGCGATTGCTTTATCTGCAAAAACTACTGTGAAGCGATACAAAATTTGTGCGTGTGGCTGCAGACCAGCACAACTTTACGTACCCAGCGACATGGCCTCCAAGTCAGAGTACCACTGAAATGGAAAACACAGTGTGCTGATGAAGTGCAGTTTCATAAACTTACGTCTGGGTTACTCTGCTCCCAAAGACCCACCCACCCTTCCTTCCTCTCTTCCTCCTTTCTTCCCTCCCTACCTCCCTCCTTTCTTCCTTCTTATTTATTTATGCATACAAGAACTAAGGTCCAGGCCAGAGGTTCTGGGGGGTTGGACAGGTGTGAGAGGCTTCACCAGTGACAGAGTTGGGAAAAGAACAGGCAGATTGACTGAAATCCACTGCTGAGGGGAGCAGCGTGGGACAAGAGAGGTTTGCTGTGCCCTGTGGGTCAGCTCCCTAGCTGGGGATTGAACTTGTGCTGCGATGATTGCAGACAGCTTCACAGTGCTGCGTTTTAACCTGTTGCAGCACAAGGGAGGGGCCTGCTTTCTTTTTAAAAAATATTTATTTATTATGCATACAGAACTGGGGTACAGGCCAGAGGTGTGGGTGGTGAGGGGATTCACCAGAGGCAGAGTGGGGAGCAGAACAGGCAGACTGATTGAAATACACTGCTGAGGGGAGCAGTGGGTGGGACGGGAGAGTTCTGCCATGCCACCAAAGGTACTTTCTTTCTTTTTCCAGGTGAACCCTCGGCTGATCAACCAATTTGAGAAGAAAGATTTAAATTTTGTAGGTCAGGATGTAGATGGTGAGAGGATGGAAATCATTGAACTGGCAAGTAAGTAGAATGTTGGCATCCTTTGTTGCCTGTACGTATGAAGATACAGCTCGAGACCCATTTGTTCGCTTCTCCCCTCTCACCTTTGAACTAAATACGCATGTCCATAGAAATAATACGCACTGAATGTTAAGTGCTTGAAAAATCGGACCACCTGTACCTGTTCACCGTTTGGGCACCTGTGAGTTGAACCCACTGGTGGGTGATCTGTGGTGCCAAGCCTGCCTGCCTTGCCAGGACTATGCTTCCTTACCATCCTGCCCTTCTGGGACCTCTCTTGTCACTCCCCTCTAGGTTAGAAGGTGTGACCGAGGTGGGCAGCCCACCATCGTAGTGCTCTGCTCTCTCTTCCTTGGAGGAAGAGTGGCCCAGAGCCTGACTGCAGGGGGCCAGCATTGACGTCTGTTGCGTTCGGGACCCTCCTTCCACCTGGGGTCTGCCTTTCCCTATTGCTCATGCTCTGAGGTCAGACACCGGCCAATCACTTCACTTGTGAACACTAATCACTGCTCTCAGACCTATCCCAATGCAAAGGGATGGAACTTCTGTTTGAGGAAGCTCCTCAAAGTTGCTTGTGCTGGGCAGGGACATCCTCAGGAGCATAAGCACAAGCCACTTTACATCTGTTGTTATGAGCTGGGGGTAGGGGGTGCTGTGTTCTTGTCACTCAGAACTGCAAGGACACGGGAAGTCCATGGTAACAGCTGATCTTAGCTCTTTCTCTTGACCTTCTTAGCCTAAGAGAAGCCAACCATGGCCTGTGTGCCCTATTCAGCCTGCTGACTGTTCGGGACAGCTCATGAGTTAAGAATGGCCTTATATCTTTACATGGTTAAAAAAAAAAACCAAAGAATAGTATTTGTGGCACATGAAAATTATGTGCAATTTCAGTGTCCATGAGTAAAGTTTCGTTGGAACACAGTTACACGCATTCATTTCTGTGTTGTCTGTGGCTGACTTTATGTTGCAATGGCAGAGATAGATGGTTGCAAAGAGGCTTTCTGGTCCATAAAGCCTAGTACAATTGTACTTGACCTGTGCAGAAATGTATGGCAGTGCCTGTTTTAGACCCACATATGTGCACTTCACTGAACTAACTTGAACTTAACATTTTCAGGTGTCTGCATGACCTATTTGTCTATCTGGATATTCTCCTGGCACTCCCACCTCAACTTATTTAAAATGAAATTTACATGCTCTCCAAATTAGTTCTTTCTCCTGACTTTCCATTAAGGTATCATTAATCTCCTAATGTGGGGTTTCTCACTCTTACCATTGATGCTTGGAGTGGGATGATTCTTCATGTGGGCACTGCACAGTGCACTGTGGGATGGCTGGCAGTCTCCCCGGTCTCCACCCTCTGGATGCCAGAGCAATGCCTACTTCTCCCTCTCCCTTCCTGCCCATGTCAAGTTGTGACAACCCACAACATCTCCAGATGTTGGCAAATGTCCCTGAGCATCACATTCACTCTGGTTGGGAATCACTGATCATGAGGCTTGAAACTGAACTTCATGAGCTCCTCTTTCCCTTTACACCCCAGCTTGTAATCAATTGTCAAGACCTGTAGCTTTGTTGGGATAGCATCACTACCCCAGCCCCAGCACTTGGCGACTCTGACCCAGACTAGTCCTCAAGCTCTTTCCTGCCTGCAGATTTGCCCCTTTCCTGTACTTCCAGCAAGCCTGGTGCCCTGACTGAGCAGGGCACGAGACACTAAGTTGTTGGATGAACCAATCTGATTTATGGAATGCTTAGTGTGGACAGGATGCTCTGAAAATGGCAGCATACATTTTTAGAACCAACTTTTTCAACTCGTGTACCTTAGGCCCCACATAACCTGATAACTTACTCTTTTTCTAACCTTTTTCCATCTTAGCTCATGTCACTATTTTCGACTTCAAATTCCTCTTTCTGTTCCTCTCTTTTTCTGTCTCTAATTTGTTCAGGTACTTCAGGAGTTCCGAGCAGGGAGGAGAATTGAAGTTGGAGAAGGCTTCTTTGAACTCAGTAGCATGTTACCCGGACCCTGAAAGAAGGAAAGCAATGGACATTGAGTGCGCACGCACTAGATGCTTCTCACTAGACCCCTCGCTAGGGTGTCTGCATGCCTTATGTCATTCACAAGGCAGGTGACGTCATTCCCACTTTACAGAAAGGAGACTAGAGTGCAAAGAGGATACATTTCCTGCCCCGGATTTGTAGGGTCTGTCCCTTGTGGAGTTCTGTTGTCCCTCTTGTTTTCATCGGACAGTCCACCTGTGATCCTCCATCTATGCCTAGAATTTTAAATTAAATAGGAAGGACGTATTTCCTACAGTCTTTCTAATGGGAATGCCCATCATTGAACATGTTTTTCATGTGGATCAGTGTCTAGTGCTAAAGTCTAGTAAGTGGCATGCCAGAGGGCAAGGAATTTCCCAAGATATAACTATTTGTCTACTTCATTCAAGTGCTTATTCTCTTTTAATTCTCCTGATTCTTATTATCATCAGCAAAGACTAACAAACCTCTTTCATCGCAAGGGTTTAGATTCCCGTTGACACTTTCAAATTTTATGTGGTTTGGAAAGGAAATGAGAGTTGCTGTAAAATGTTTCAAAGCTGACTGCAAGGAATTCATTTTATTAAGGAAAATCTCCCAGCAGAGTTTGATCTTAGCCACACTTTAGAAACCATATCCAAGAGTCCCTATCTTCCCAAAGGTGTTCCAAAATTTGAGATTAGTCTAATTTGGCTCAAAGCAGTTAAAAGCGTTACTTAAAAGATGTTTTATCAACTGGTAGAACATCAGCAAAATAAAAACGTTTTAGCCTCTTTACTTATACTGGCATTGAGGATGTTTGAATCAACTCATTCAGAGCAATGATTCATTCATTCAAATATCCTGTCCCTGCCTGTGACCATGATCCATGGTGCAGATTCTGTCTGTCGTAGCACAAACATGTGAATACTATCCGCTCATTTCAAACACACCCCTCAGTGCTGTTCTGCATCTTATTTTTTTTTTAAAGATTTATTTTTTAATGGGATATAGGCCAGAGGTATGAGAGGATTCACCAGAGACACAGTTGGGAGCAGAACAGGCAGATACACTGAAATCTACTGCTGAGGGGAGCAGCAGGGAGACAGGAGAGGTCTGCTGCGCCATGTGGGTCACTCTCCTAGCCAGGGATCAAACTCATGCTGCAGTGGCTACGATAGCTTCATAGTGCTGTGCTTCAACCCACTGCACCACCAGGGAGGGCCCGTCACTGCACCTTAAAATTTAAGGCTACATTGCTTAATTTCCTTTCTAAGTGTGGGTGATGTCTTTCCTTGACGGGGACACATTCCCAGGTGAAGCTGGAACTCCCCTTCCCAAGTTCTCAGATCCGAGTGTCCCTCTGATTCAAGGAGGCTTCTCCCTATGTGTGATACAGAGGATTTTTACACTGTTTTTTCCTGGCTATAGAGATGTTTAGTAAAACCTGCTACAATGATGGGGCTCTTCTGCTCTTTTTGGTATGGTATTCATATGTGGCTATTGAGCATGAGAATGGATTGAAGTAGCCACATGTGGCTTAGGGGCTAGCATTTTGTGTAGCAAAGCTTTAAGTGCTAACCTTTAAGGGACTGGACATTTCCGTTCAATCAGCATTTGCTCACTACTGCAGTTTTGGGTCTCCAGGATATGTGATGGGCATTTGTGAATTCCACATGAGATTTTTAAATGATTTGATAAAATATCTCACCGAAAGGTTTAAAATTATAGATACTTCTATTATATATGTAGTATATGTGTGTGCACCTATGCTGTTTACTTTTATGATCTCTAGCTTGGTATATATCTGTAACAAAGGATTTGTAAAGTGGGGCTACAGCCCACTGCCCCTGCTCTGTACTGTAGCGACTGTGGGATTTGGGTGTTGCTGCCTCTCTAGTTAGGATTTGCTTTCTGGCCTGGGAATAAGCATAACCTGTGATATTCTAATTAGGGAAAGAATCTGGAATCCAGATTTGAAAATGTTTTCATTCTAAAACAGGGGATTCCACATGGCTGGGAAAAGCTACTTTTCTGCCCCTACTGCATCTTGGGGGACTTGAATTGCTCCTTCCAGAGTTTATTTCCCTCAATATGAAAACAGCTTCATTATCCCTTCTGCTAGTATAGGTAATAGGTGCTCATTGCAAAGAGTCGTAAGATACAGAAAATAAAAGAAAGAAAATAAAAAGGTATTGGCCTCTTACCAGCTTGAGCCGTGACCACCAGTATTGTGTTGAGGAGCCATTGTTCTGTCACTCAGAGAGTTTCCATGACCCAGGACAGGTTGGCGAAGGCTGAATAAGGGTGCCAGTGTAGACAAGCAGCTGAGCTGCCTGTATTTCTGGGACATTCTTCCCTTGGAATAAAGAGGAGCCTGTTGGTTCCTGAAGCCATGTAAGAGAGAGCGGTAAGAGAAAGTGGGCCTCAGGCGTGGGGGGCACCACAGAGAGGGAGGTTTGGGGAAAGCAAAAATCCTTGCCATGGAAAGTCTTGCCTAACTTCACCTGCTTTGCCACCTTCTCCGAGGAGAGGGCCGGGTGGCTGACTGAGCTCTGTCTCACAGTCTGAAATTCTGCTGTGCAGACACATCATGAACGTAACTGGCTATGATGATGGCCGGTGACTCATCAGTGCTTCGCGGCTTCCTTACTCAGAGATATGATGTCTGAAGCAGTTCTTGTGCTTGCCTGCCTCAATCGCATGTGGTTGTTCTCATTTCAGATCACCCTTATTTTGTTGGTGTCCAATTCCATCCTGAGTTTTCTTCTAGGCCGATGAAGCCTTCCCCGCCATATCTGGGCCTACTACTGGCGGCAACTGGGAATCTGAATGCCTACCTACAACGGGGGTGCAAACTGTCTCCCAGGTAACTGACTTACTGCTCCTAGTGTTACTTGAGAGGCAGTTACTAACATCTTAGGGGGTCTCTTGAAGTTATTGTCATTCTAGAACTTTTTAATGCAATTGAGGTAACACTGGTTATACAGTTTAGGGGAAATGGGGCTCACCTCCTCATATGTATGTCACCCCACCACCCCCACCATCGAAACACCCATTTTCCTGGACTTAAAAGGAAAGACTTAAAAACCAATTAGGAAGTTTCATATAACTCACAGAAGCTGATTTAAAAGAACTGCTGGCCTCATTTGGACAATTAGAACATCCAACATAATAGTGGAAATATTATAACGTCACAATTTTCAAGAAATTCCATAATGATACTAAAATCTTTTTTTTTTTTTTTAAAGATTTATTTATTTATTCATACAGAACTGGGGTACAGGCCAGAGGCTCAGGGGCGGTGAGAGGCTTCACCAGAGACAGAGTGGGGAGCAGAACAGGCAGATCGACGAAGTACACTGCTGAGGGGAGCAGCTGGCGGGTCAGGAGAGGTCTGGCTCGCCATGTGGTCTCCTCCGGGGCAGGCGGCAGGTGGGAATCGAACTCATACGGAAGTGGCTTCAGATTCTCAGTGCTGTGCTTTAACCCGCTGCGCCACCAGGGAGGGCCAAAATCTTTTTTTTTTTTTAAAAAAAAAGGCCAATTAAAAATATCGACACAACCTGCCTTGTAATAACTGGGTCAAATGAGGATCTTCCTTGATGCCGGAACCATTGGATGAAAGGTTGTGGGAAACAGGATGTTCACAGGCTGTGACAGCATCGCTGAGGATTCTTTACTAATTACAGAAGTCTGCGTTTGGGACGCGCAACGTCCCTGGGGCTTTTGCAAGTTGCTCCCAGTGTGTAGTGCCGTCCAGCTGGCATTCATTCAACATCTCACCTGAGAGCTTTGTCATTCTCATCACTGCTGGGCTTGAGAGAACCAGTGGTCATTGAGTCAGAGTGCCTCACCTGTCCTAGGGCTCTCAGCGGGGAGTGTGATGGGCACAGACAACCTTCCAGGAATATGATGGGAGCTATGCACCCACTTCCTGGCAAGCTGCACAGACATGCCAACTGGATGTCATTTCCTGGCATTTGTAACCCAAAAGTCTACCACCCAGCGACTTTCCTCTAGGGGTGCTCAGGTATGAACCCCCAGCTAGTAAAGACTCGGGAGGTACAATTGTGCAGCCCCAATAGTGTGGGAAGTGTTCGTGCTGCAGCTTGTCCTGTTCTCCCAGGTCCCCATGATTTCGACAATATCAGAGTAAACGTCTTCCTGCCAGAGCCCCGTTATCCACATCATGCACCCAAGTCAGTCAGCAGTCCTGGAGACTCCTGCTGCAGGGACCCCTTGTTTTCTGCAGTGCTGCTAGGGGGCGTGGCCTGGTCTTCAGCAGGCCTTGGAGGTGGCCTTGCTAAGCTTCAACCCAGCTCTTTCATTTCCCAGCTGGCAGCGATCTCACCCTTCTGTGCACCCATTTCTTTATAAAAGGAGGTGACCATAGTCACACACTTGCTACAGCAGTCATGAAGGTGCTGTTTCATATGGAATGTAAAGTGCTGGACACAGTTTTCTGAGCTAGGAAACTCAGCGTTCAGTCAGGGACTGGTGACTCTGCACCTGGCTTCTGGTCTCCTCTTACCTGCTGCAAAAGCATTCTGCCTGGTCTCTCCAGATTCTCTCCTCTTGACCCATCTTCTGCTGGTAGAAGGATCTCCCCACCATATTTTGGAGCTTTAAATGCCCAGTTCCTTCCCTTGACCACACAAATCCATTCAGAACACCCCAAGCCCCTAGAGGATTCTTTTTATTATTATTAAAAATTTCTTTATTTATGCATACAGACCTGGGGTACAGGCCAGAGGTGTAGGGAGAGGATTCACCAGAGAGAGTGGGGAGCAGAACAGGCAGGTCGACAGAAGTACACTGCTGAGGGGAGCAGTGGGTGATGAGGAGAGGTCTGCTGCACCACGTGGGTCACCTGGGGGGTGTGGGGGGGAATCTAACTGATTGCCCCACCAATAAGGGCCCTCCCTGGAGGGTTTAAATGCCTTTGTCTCCACTCACTAATGCTGCTCTCTGGCTCTTGGTAAACATTCCTGAACAGCTTAGGGGAGTAGGAATAGCAATCCATATCCTGTCAGGATGACAATTGAACCAAACTGAATAGGTGCCGTCTCAGTTGGGGGCCCCTCCATTGCTAAGAGCGTGTGAACTGCTTCCTCTGGGCAGAGTTAGCCCTCATTCCTGGACACTTGCATGAATTCAGGCTCATTTTCCAGCTCTGTTTTCAATTTGGAATTATTTTTCTTTTGTTTTTCCCTTAATACATTTATGATATCTGATTATTGTTCCCGAGGGGATTCTCGCATATCTGGTGGATAGATTTTATTTCTGTGGGTACAGTGTCCACGAATAGAGTGGGTGCTATGGATTTAATATCCTCACCTGCCACTTACTGGGGAATTTTCCCAAACCCCCACTCCTCAAGCCCATGAGCTTCCTCCTTGAGCATTGCTGCGAGCAACAGTTGAGAATGGTGTTTTGTAAGCTTTAAACGGATAGAGAAATAATACTTTCTCCTCTTTGTTACATTTCAAGCAGAAGTGAACTGAAGGAAAAAAAAGATTTCTTTTTGCTTTGTTTCTTTAACAATTCTTTAAGCATTTTAAAACAGCTCCCCCCCCTCCCCCCGCCCCACTTATGATTTGACACCAACTCTAAACCTTGAGACCTTCCTGGGGAAGTTGCACTAAGAAACTTAAGAGTCAGGCACCAGCCAAACACAGGCACCAGAAGGGGCAGTTGCCCCAAGCAGAAGCAGATAATAGGGGGCAATCACCTCATGACTTGTTTGTGTTTGTCACAACTTTACAAGTAGGACAGAAAAATATGTTGCAGTTCCTTGTCAAAATTTTCCACCTGGCCATTTCTTCCCCCTTCCTAGGCCTATAAAAACCCCTCTTACCCTTCCCTCAGTGCGCCTTCTCTGACCTCAACTCTGGGGGTCAGTGAACCTTGCCTTGGAGTGCAGAAATAAACCTACTTTTGGTTTTACTAGCCTCACTATTTCTTTGCATCCTCCTTACTGCACCAAACCTTTCAGAAACCAGATTGGCTCCCCCTTTCCTTGGGTTGAACGCTGGCTCAGAGGTGCCCTGGGTTGAGTGACAGGACTCCTTGCAGCACTGCCAGGTGCTGCTACCAGGAACTCGGGTAATAGTAGTAGAGACCGCGGCGTTTTTAATACCCCGCTGGGGTTGCATTCTGTCATTTGCTATTCCATGCAAAACTCACTCAAAGCATACTAAGTTTTTATGCCATCGCTCTTATATTTTATGGCTTCTAGGGACTCTTTGAGAAGGAAGTCAGTACAGTAGTAACAGTGCATTGGGGAGAGCTGTGCGCTTAGCATCCTGTTTTAAAACATGCTTTTCCCACATGAAAAGGGTTTTGATAGAAAGTACTGGCAGGCCTCAGGCTTAATGGAGATCCTGAGTCTGCTGTTAGATTTATTTTTTTTTTAAAATTCCAACCACCTCTTTCAGTTAATGAAGAAGAAAGAGTTGAATGACTACCTCGGGGTGGAATAAAAGGTGAGCTCTAGAGGGCATGGCTCCGCCCTTGCCCTGGCACCTTGGGAGACATGTTTGCCTATGTCGGGAATTTAGTAGGAGCCATAGACAAACAATTGACCACAACAAGCCTTTTGTTTGTCAGAAGCTCATGAGGACCACCAGCTTGGTCGAGTCTTACAAGTTAAGCCGGGGCTGTAGGCAGAGTGGTTCCCATGTTGCTGCCGGTGATTTTGTCTGAGAAGAAATAGTGTGTAAAATAAAAATAAAAATAGTGCAGCAGAGAGTTGTTTTCAAGGAGCGCTTCCACGATTTGGGGACACACGCATGCGTGACAGAGACATACTGTGGTTTTAATCAACTAGAGAGCCAGCCGTTAAAACCAAACACACACACAGCTTTTTAAAAGGAAGCGACAAGAGGGACCATCGCATGTGGTTATGATTTGTTCATAAAAATCACCCTTCACCTGCTTTGATCGCCACGCAGTCCATAGAACTTTCTGTCGTGCTAGTAGTATCCCATCATTTACACAATTCAGTGCAGTGTCACTAGCCCCCTGGGCATGTGACCTTTGTGGCATGGCTCATATGTGTCAGTGAGGAATGACGTCTTACGTTCGATTTGATTTGAACTGATTTAATTCAGACCTCTATGCTGTCTTTCTGGCTACCTTATGGGAGAGATGGGGGTTCAAAAGTTCCCGCTGAATGGGTCTGTACCCTGTGGCTTTTCATAAATGTAGCATGGGAGACCCCACTAATAGCTCTCCCACTAAGAAGTGTCTATGTGTCCAGATGATAATTTTAAAAGCTGGGTTAGTCTTCAGACGGAGCTGAGATGTCTTCAATGAAATGAAAAGATCCCCAGGTGATTTTATCTAATGGATTTCTTTAAGTCTGTTCTGTATGAGGCAAAGGAAGCACTCACCATTTATTGAATGTGTGGGATGCGGTGTTGCTCCCATGGGTATGCTCACCCCTACTGTAAGTCTAGCACTTGCTCTTTGCTGGTTCGGGAATGCTGTAAAATCACGCTAAGCAGTGCTGCTTACTTTACTGATTGTTGTTGAGGGTCATGTTTTGCTTTATTGTCATGACTCCAGCCCCTGACATGTATAAAAGGAAATGATCGAGCCTATCATTTGCCTTCGCCAGTCAGCTCAGGTCCAGCCTGACTTTGCTAGCTTCAGCTGTGCCTTTTTGAGGCATTGGCAGTGCTTGGCACTGCCAGCCCTCAGACAGCTGTTAGGTGGGAAACAGATGGGGGCGGGAACTGCTCCCAGTGCAGGAAACAGTCCTGAAACCACGTGCCTGTCCCTTTGCATGACTGTTAGATTCCAGCAGGAATAGGTAACCCCGTGAATAGCAAGGCTCATACTTTTATGTAGTTTTCAGCACACTTTTTATCCGTTTTCGTTTGAGCTTCATAATATTTTGGTGAGCTGTAGGTTTTACTATTAAAAACCTACAGTTTTCTAGACTCTCAAGACTCTCAGAGGAGTCAGACGACCAGCATTCTTGGTGGTAGCATCTGGCAGTGCTGGAGGGTGTCCCGTCGCTCTGAGTCAGTGTTTAACCCCCAAAGAAAGGGGTTACCAAATGTGGTTTATTAGTGGAACTTCACCAGGAAAGGTCTCCACGTTTGGAGTTGGTGTCAAATCAGGTGTCAGGGGTGTGTGTGTGTGTATGTGTGCTGCTGCTTTTAAAAATGTTTAAAGTCTTGTTAAAAAAAGAAAAAGTTCCAAATCTCCTTTCTCTACTAATTCTGTGACATGAGACACCGCAGAGATCCAGGACAGAGTCTGTGTTTGTGTAGTGAGAATGCATGGGTAGGGATATAGCAACTTTTGAGGCACTTTTGTTGCTGTTAATTTTTTTTTTGAAGATTTGTTTTTATTTTTTCATACAAGAACTGGGGTACAGGCCAGAGGTGTGGGGCATAAGAGGATTTACCAGAGACAGAGTAGAGCAGAACAGGTGGATCCACTGACATACACTGCTTTGGGGAGCAGTGGGTGAGACAGGAGAGGTCTCCTGTGCCACATGGGTCAGTTCCCTGGCCGGGGATTGAACTCGTGCTATAGTGGCTGCGAATTGCTTATTGCTTCAGAGTACTGCACTTCAACACAGGGAGGGCCCTGAGGCAGTTTTTTTAAAAAAGCATAATTCAGATAGTCCTCTTTTTCCTTTATTGGGAATCCTTTTGTAATAATAGAAGTGATTTTCCTGAATTAACATCTAACTAGGTAGTATCTTGTACTTGGTTGTTTTTAAGGATATGTTGACTTGTACAAGCCTTTACTGCCAATTCTTAATCTTCTCTCTCCTCTCTATACTCTAGGACACATACCCCTCCCTCCAGAATTTTGTCCAAAATTCAGGGAGGAGAACAAGGAAGAGAGGGAGCAAACAAACCAGAACACAGAATGTCTTTTATGACTTTCTTGTGTATTTATCAATATTTGCATAATATATTTAGAGTAAATCCTTGTTTTCTGATCTGTCAGCATAGGGTTTTCCATGTTTCTATCCTCCTTTTATAAGAGTGGATTTTCACCTATCATAGATTTTAGACTTTTGGCCAAGGCTAGGGCCCAGCTGGGCATAAAACACGTGCCGGCAAGGCTGTCTCCGTGGACCAACTCTGGTGGAGTTGATTGACTTGCCGACTTACTTGGGACCAAGCAAAAGGAACCCTAATCTCAGTGTGCAGCTCAGAGCAAAAGTCTAGTTGCAAAGCTATTTCGTAGAGAAGGTGTGTGTTAATGGAATAATCCAACCAACACAGGGCCATCTGTGCTGATAACGCATTCTCTTTGGAATCCTGCGTGTGACTCAGGGTAGTTGCAGCATCCAGTAAAGTACTTAATTTGAAAGTAATATAATCATGCAATAATTTCTAAAATTTTGGGCCTCTGCAAAAGGAAAGCCTTTATCCTTGCTAACCTATAAATCATAGTGAAAATAAGATCTGAAGTAGGTAGTATTTCAAGGTGAATTGGGAGAATGATACTTTTTTTATGTGTGCTGCTGAGAAGTTCTTGGGTTGTAGGATGACCAAGTTCAGTTTCCACCTGGTGTTTGCTGACCTTGAATGACCCTTCATAGTTGTCTTGTCTGGGGGAACTGCTGTAATCCTCAAATTCAGAGGATTACAGAGGCGGCTCCCAGCTTACACTGAATAAAAGGATAGGGCATTGGGGATACATAGCTACACTCTGTGTTTTCTAACTCATTTCCTGTTGCCAAAGGAAACAATTGTTGGAAGTGTGAAAAAATGAACAAGTTCTGAGAGCCCAGATACTATTTTATGTTCGGTCATTGCACTTGAGAACAAATTGAGATCAGTAGGCACAGGCCTAGGTGATGCCCAACCTCAGGCACTGAGATTTAGACCCTCATTTGACCAGTGTAGAGTCACAGAAGGTAAATGGCCCCACTGGCTCAGGCTTTCATTTTAAATCAGTTTGTTAACATAATGGCTCTGGTTGATCAGGAAAAGGGGCAGGAGCAATCTTCTTGCAGGGTTTTTGTCAATGTTCAGAAGTGATCAGTGGTGTTCAGAAGATTATAAATATAAATTTTGAGCTTAAATGAAATGCTTTTATATACTTTCTGAATAGGTGACTTCCGATTTCAGATGAGAACAAGGGCCCCAGGCCTTGGTCAGACACAGGAGGCTGTTGTATGTGGCCTATAGTGACTGAGTCAAGTGTGAGAGAATATTCCTCTGAGCTGGGGGTTAATTACGGAAAGTTTTGGAACTCTAAGTGCAAGAAATGTCCAGGGTTTGTTTTTGTTGTTTTTTAAAATAACCATGCCAAATGTGTTCCTCCTTTTATCTAGTGATAGATACAGCGATGCCAGTGATGACAGCTTCTCAGAGCCAAGGCTAGCGGAGTTGGAAATAAGCTGAAACTAACACATGGCTTGGAATACTGCCACAGCCCAATTGGGTAAGTGGGACCCTGCATGCTGGTTTGTTTCCCGGACTGGCTGCCTTGGTGAGAAGAGAGTGTTACTGGATCCGCCGCCCAGGATCCCATTCACTGGGGTGCGCCTGTTTGACTGACATAGTTAGTAGGCTGGTGCTTTGGGGAAACTGGCACTCACTTGTTGAAGCTGGCAGCCAGTTGTGAGCCTGGGGGCGTGGAATGATGGCGGCCAGGAGTAGATCTGCCAGCGTCCCTGATGGTGGGGACCTGTAGGCCATTGTGATTAGGGTTGTGGTAGCATAGCTCAGGGCTCAGCTAACTTTTTGCAGAGGGCAGATGGTGCATATTTAAGCTTTGTGGGACACCCGGTCTCTGATGGCTCTTGCACTCTGCCCCGCCGGCCGAGACCTTCCACAAAGGAACGGGGGTGACTATGTCCTTCCCACAAGTCCTTATTTACTAAACAGTCTGCTGACCTCCAGACTAGGTCACTCGTGGAAAAGCAGATTTCCTTGGATTTGTACAGAATAAGAGTATTTTCACTCTTCCTAGGGAGCTGTGAGACACTGGCTCGGCTTCCTCGGGCTGCCTGTTTTCCCCGTGGCTCTATTAGCCTTTATTAGAGGGGGAAGCAGCTGGCAGAGTTTTATTAAATTAAAGTTTAGAGTCAGAGAGTGCCTGTGATCACTAACCCTAGGGATGGTGGCCAGCTGGGGTTGGGAGAGCTGCTCTCTCTAGCCCGGGGAGCTGCTTTCTCTAGCACAGACAGAAGCTTTTGGAAACCTTGTGAAGTGTTGGTCGCTCCAGCGCGAGCAGCCTCCCCATTTCACTTAGAGGCAGAATATCCATGCTCAACTGGGGAGAGCTGTGCTCCAGGTAGGTGAGCCTCGCACCTGGAGACCTTCAGGAGCAAACCAACATGGAGCGAAGCGCATCTGGAGCCACTTTGAAGACTTAGGCTGTTCTGTTCCTGGCTGCGTTCTCATACTCTTTTTGTCTGTTTGTTTTTAAGCCTCTGAAGTAACTGAAGCCTAGGTGAAGGAAGCGTCTGAAGGAATCGCCACACATTTGTCTGATCACTCTGTTCTCCACTAAACCTGGGATGTCAAGCATTTGAGGGAACCCGACAGTCCCTACTTCCACGAAGCAGGACCAAAGGGGTCCTTTCCGGCCCCTGCAGAGGTGGTCTTTGGTTCCCTCAACATTCTGTAGCTGATTAAACTTTTCCCAACAACCTTGCTGGGGAGAAAGTGTGTTGGTGTTCTGTGGGTGTGTGAGGGCGGAGCCCTCAAAGGGCTGCATGAGAAGGGTAGTGGGGCAGCTGCCATCACTGATTTTCACCAGAGATTAATTATTCTGTTACCTGGACTCAAGCACTGATTAGTGTATGTCCCCGGCTTATTTCATTTTCTCACCCAGCTCATTTCTGGTTAAAGGTAAAACTAAAGAGTTGGTCCAAGTGAAAGATTACAAGCCAGGCCCCTCAGGCACGGAACTCAGGGAACATTAATACCCCTCAGGAATCAAGAGCAGAGAGATCTTTAGTAAATTAAGGTGAAATTCACCTAACAGAATGAACCCCCCCTTTTTTAAAAATAATATAGTAGTTTTTTTTTTTTTTTTAAAGATTGATTTATTCATACAGAACTGGGGTACAGGCCAGAGATGAGGAGGGTGAGAGGATTCACCAGGGACAGAGTGGGGAGCAGAACAGGCAGATAGATGAAGTACACTGCTGAGGGGAGCAGTGGGCGCGTCAGGAGAGGTCTGCCACACCATGTGGATCTCCTCCGGGGCAGGCGGGGATTGAACTCATGCGGAAGCGGCTTTAGCTTCTCAGTGCTGTGCTTTAACCCGCTGCTTTAACCCGCTGCGCCACCAGGGAGGGCCCTATAGTAGTTTATTTTTACATCATTCTGTGCCTTTTTCCATCTCAGTTGTAGTCCCCGTGGGCTTCCCACCACCAATTCACCCGTGTGCCATCAACATAGTCCTGTGCACTTCGCTCTCCCCTCCATTTTTTTATCCCATTCCCCATTTCACCCCCGTAAAATGTCTCTGGTATATAGTTGGGATGAACCCTTTTTAAGGGGATAATTCAATGGTTTTAGGTATGTTTACAATGGTATGCAACTGCCACCTGGATTTACTTCCAAAGCTAGTCTATCACTTGAAAATAAATCCCCCATCCCATGGACACTCACACCCATTTCTCCCTCCTTCCTTCCATCCCCTGGTACCCACTAATCTTTCATTTCTATTGACTAATTTATTTTGGACATTTCATATAAGTAGCATCATACAACATGTGACATTTCATATACATTTCATATTGGACTTGTTGCACCCAGCTTCATGTTTTCAAGGTTCATCCATGCCATAGCATCTGTCAGTATTTCTTTCTTTTTATTACATCTGAATAATATTCCATCAAATGGCATAAGATGATTTGTTTCTCCCTTTGCTAATGGATATTTGAGTGGTTTCCACATTTTGCCAATTAGAATAATGCTGCAGTGAACATTCACTTGTAAATATCCTTTAAATACCTGTTTTTAATTCTTTGAGGTATATATTTAGGTATAGAATTCCTAGGTTATCTGGAAATTCTGCTTAACATTAGATGATGCAGCAGTATTTTTTTTTAAAGATTTATATATTTATTTATTTATTTTAAAGATTTATTTATTTGTACATACAGAACTGGGGTACAGGCCAGAGGCTCAGGGGTGGTGAGAGGCTTCACCAGAGACAGAGTGGGGAGCAGAACAGGCAGATCAACGAAGTACACTGCTGAGGGGAGCAGTGGGCGGGTCAGGAGAGGTCTGCCACGCCATGTGGTCACCTCCGGGGCAGGTGGGAATTGAACTCATGCGGAAGTGGCTTTAGCTTCTCAGTTGCAGTGCTTTAACCCGCTGCGCCACCAGGGAGGGCCTAGAGATTTATTTATTTATGCATACTGAACTGGGGTACAGGCCAGAGGTTCAGGGGGTGAGAGGATTCACCAGAGACAGAGTGGGGAGCAGAACAGGTAAATCGTCAAAGTACACTGCTGAGGGGAGCAGCGGGCAGATCAGGAGAGGTCTGTCGCACAATGTGAATCACCTCTGGGGCTAGGGATTGAACTCACAGTGAAGAAACCACTGCTGGCTTGCAGAGCTGTCTGTGTTCTAACGTGTTGCACCACTAGAGAGGGCCTCAGCAATAGTATTTTAATTAACCTTCTAGAAGAAGAATCAACTTAAAAAATGAATAATGAACAAAATATCAAATTTTAAAATAAGACAGGATCTTGCCTTCCCCTCCTGCACCTTCCGAGTCCCGGCCCCGATCTCCAATGTTCTCAGGTGCTGTGCATCCCAATGTTCCCTCTTATATGTGTGTGAACTCATCACTTGTGTTCATGTTTGATTGAAATATTTTAACTGCTCAGTTAATTGGCTGTCTTTTGCACATTTACTTTTTTCTTTTAATACTGTGAGGTGTTATAGCATTCTTTTATAAGATGCTACTGAGAATTAATCTACCAACACTTGCAGAATGAAATGAATAATTCTGGTAAACAAAAATATTAAGTGGAGTTTTAGGGCTCCACTTGTGAAAATTACAGCTTGAAGATCACAAGAGGTTCTAGATGAAAAGCACACAAGGTAGGCTAAAAGCTGGAATAGGCCTCATGGAGGGACTCAGCGCAGAGGGGGTGCTTTAATATCACAAAGGGGGAGTTTGGCTTAAATAGGAGTTTTCACTTTTTAATGATTATGGTTTGTAAAAGTCACTTCAAACAGAGTGCGTTCACTGCGGGTTAATGGTGCATGTAAATGGACTGGAAGGAAAGACACTTAAACAATAAACTAGGGCCCTCCCTGGTGATGCAGCGGTTTAAAGCACAGCACTAAGAAGCTTAAGCCACGTCTGCATGAGTTTGATTCCCGCCTGCCCCGGAGGTGACCACAAGGCGTGGCAGACCTCTCCTGACCCGCCCGCTGCTCCCCTCAGCAGTGTACTTCGTCGATCTGCCTGTTCTGCTCCCCACTCTGTTCCTGGTGAATCCTCTCACCCTCCGCATCTCTGGCCTGTACCCCAGTTCTGTATAAATAAATAAATAAATCTTTTTTTTTTAAAAAGTAAGAAACAATAAACTAGCCTCTTTGTTGTTGCTACATGAAATTTTTCTCCTAAAGAGTTATCCCTTGAACTTGGAATCCAGTGAGTCGCAGGGTGGTGGTAGCATGACCGCTTAAGATGGAGAAGCAGGGGGAGGGTCCCAAGCAAATGAAGTTATTACATGTCATTCACTCAACGAATGGTTCTCAAGCTCTCAGCATTAGCCACTCAGCACATCAGGTGCTGGGGAAGAACCTGACTGTCTCATAGGGGATGATAGGCTTTAAACAAATCAAGTGGCAAAGAAGTACTTGATTCTAATTTGGTATATGTAGGGTGCTATAGGAGTGTCAAAGAATAAGGACAAATGACTTGTGAGAGAACGTAAAATGACAAACTGGGGGGACCAAGGAAGGCTGCTTGAGCAAAGCTGGGAAATGTTTGATCCACATTTGCACCCACCCCAAGGTTACAGTGGGCTGAGAGCAGAGGCCCAGTGGGGTTTCTCAGCCTGGTGGGCAGGTGGGCACGTCACCTGGCCTGTCCTCATGGGGCATCACTTGCTTGTCTCAGCCTAGACTTTTAGTTGATTGTCACTCAGATGAGGCCGAAGCTGAAGGGGCTTATTCTTTTATTTTCTTTATAAACCATCTAGTTCTATTTGTAAATGTCACTTTTGTTGCTGTATTTCTTACTTGAAATTTCTATTTTGTTGAACTGAAAAGAACTAGTTACTCGCACTTCTTTGCCATCTCAAGGTTGGTGTGAGACATTGGTACTCAGCACCGTCCCCCCACCTCCAACTGTGGTTCTGCACACAAGGAGGGCATCCAAGACAAGGTGAGAGACGAGAAACATGACGAGAAATTCAGTGGTGCGAGTCTGCCTGTTCTGTGTCTTTGGAGTATTTTCTTTTTAAACCTTCAGACTGAAAGTAGGTCTCCCTCTCTCTCTCTCTTTTTTTAGATTTACTCCTTTATGTGTACAGAACTGGGTACAGGCCAGAGATGTGTTGGTGAGAGGATTACCAGAGACAGGGGAGCAGAACAGGCAGATCGAGGAACTACCCTGCTGAGGGGAGCAGCGGGGAGACAGGAGAGGTCTACTGTGCCATGTGGGTCACCTCCGGGGCCAGGGATTGAACCCACACTGATGTGGCTGTGGCTAGCTTCATAGTGTTGCACTTTAACCCATTGCACTACCAGGGAGGGCAGCCTTTGGAGTATTTACCCAAGGAATACAAAAACCCACTAATATGTAGGGATATATATACTCCTGTGTTCATTGCAGCATTATTTTCAATAACCAAGATATTGAAAGAGTCCACTGACAGATGAATAGAGTAAGACATTGTATAAATGGTGGAATACAACTCAGCTATAAAAAAGATGAAAATTTTGACATTTGCAGCCACAGAAATGGACCTATTTTACTGTGCTAAGTGAAATGAATCAGGTGAAGAAGCACAAATACCATTCACATGGAAGTTAAAGAAACAAAACAAAGCAGAAACAAAATATTAGATTATAAGAACAAAATGGTAGGTACCAGAGGGAAAAGGGGAAGGGGGAACTAGTTGAACTGGGTTAAGGAATCAATTGTATGGTGGTGGGTGGGAACTAGACTTTTGGTGGGGATCATAAAACATGTCAATTTATGCTATACAGCTGAAACCTATATAATGTTTTAATCAACATTATTTCAATAAAATTAGGTAAAAATTAAAAGTAAAGAACACAAGTATACATTCTTTGTCATTCACAGGAGGTACACCCTAAAACAGGTGGGTGGCAAACTGAGCACAGGCTAAATTCTGCCCTTTTATTGTAAATAAAGTTTTATTGGCACACAGCCACACATATTCCTTTACACATTCTATCACTGCTTTTGTGCAACTCTGATTTTGAGCAGAGTTGAATTGTTGACCCTGAGTCCTACAAAGCCTCTAATAACACGCCCTATCTGGTCCTTTACGGAAAAAGTTGGTTGGCTGCAGATCTAAAAGGTGCAGAGCAAGAGCAATTCTTGATATCTCCAGTGGAATTTAGAAATCTTTTTTTTTTCCTTCTATATCATGAAGATATTATCTTTTTAAAAATCTATGACATGAAGCTTCAAATAGA